AAAAGGTTGTCTCCTCCACAATTGCCAAGAAATAAAATTGGCTTCAACGACCATGGTATATTAGCAGTATTACAAGACGTGTTAAGATGTGGCAGTAACAATTTAGGAAGCTATTTAGAGGGACAGCTGCTGAAGTAGAAGGTGTAATAGGCCCAGCACCAAATACTGTCGAACCACTTGAATTTGTTGTATTCAAAATGGATGCACTAGTGCTGCAATTCCCAACATTAATCAGAAACTATATATGCAAATATAATTTATAAAAAATACAATTTTATTCATGTTTAAAAATTTTCACCTTGTTGATGGATATTGACATGAACCACTACCTGCACACAACATATTTAAGGAAAAAATAGGCTTAATAACATTGTAAATGTAATATAATTGAATTTTCGATTTGGTAGACGAGTAATGGGAATCGTTAGCTTACTGGGACGTGTTTTTAGTAACAGCAGCACCAGCAAAATTGCAGCTATTAGGAATTGGATTTTTCTGATAGTAGCTGTTGAATGCAAAGGAAGCGTGATCGCGGAGCGTGTTAGGGTTGTAGCAGCTGCCACCAGGCTGAATGGCAGAACAATCAGAACCACCGTAGCCACAAGCATAGTCTAATGCAACTTGCAATGCTGTTCGTGAGGCAGCTTGGCTAGCAACACACCAGCTCGAGCCCGATGATGAAGATCCTGGTGTCATTACCGGATTGGCTGGACCGCTAGTCGTTGAATCAGGATCTGAAATTGTTGGATTCAGACCGGAGTTGTTGTGGTGGTTGTAGGAGTTCCAGTTGGAACTGTTGTTATTGGAGTCGTTATGTCCACACCTGATATTCTCAAAATAATTTAAAGAGTCTCACTTAAGATAAGACAACAATGACAAGAACATTAAAGACAGTGTGTGTTTCATTTAGTTATCAAATGTGAATGAAGCTGGTCTAACAGTACGTTCATGGTGGGGCAGTAGTCTGTAAATAATTGTTGATCGTCAATGAGGGGCGGCTCAACAAAACTGGTGGCCTAAAACCAAAATATATCGAAAAGACCCTGGAACGTCTTTTACGAAATCCATATTATATTGAGATACAAGAAAAAAAAACTACATGACTTTGATATAGTGGTGAGAGCGCAACTCATGATGTATTAGTTAAGCGCACGTCATATGGTATTGAATTCTTCCCTTAAGTGAAAATGTAAAGGGTGAGCCCATTATCCATCGTGTTCTGAACCTTGCGATATTTGTCTCGGGGATTTCTTAGTTAAAAAATATGAGCATGCTTTCTGGTGTGAGGATCAATCAAATGTGGTAAAAAGGAATAGTTAATTTAGAGAATTTGAGTTGAATTTGAAAGTAAAATGGTGAGAACAATGAAAAAAAGACTATACATAAAGGAAGAAAAATAAAATTGATGAGAAGGTAAATATATTATTTAATTTAGTAAGAAAAATTTATTCAATTAAGTCACTCAATCTTATGTCTACCAAATATTAAAAATTATTAAAATTTGAAATTTTTTATTAATAATTATATAAATATAAATTATAGAGTATATATTATTATATTATATAATAATATAACAGTGCTTCTTATTTTTTGGGCCTTAATTATTTGGGGCCTAAGGCAAGGACTTCACTTTCTTTACCCTAGAGTCGCCCTTGGCGCATATCATGGGAAATTGGGAATGGTTTAATGTTTCTGCACTAGGTAGTTGTCATGGATGAGGGAGTACTTTTATATTCTGAATTTCTGATGTTCTTTGTCGCAGTGTGGTAGTTTTGCTATTCGCTCAGACCCCTCTTTACTCTTTGTATACATGTTAAGCTGTTGAGTTCAGTACCTCAGCTTTCACTTCATCCATTGAGTGCCCAAAATAACATTAATTCTCATGCCAATAAGACTATCTCTAGACTTCTCTATACAGAGGCATATCCAGAACTTTAACGCGACGGGGGCATCGGTATTCTGCTCAACTAGAACCGGTGCCCTTAAAGGCCTTTAGTATTCAGGGTGCTAAGTGATTTAAATTAATCATTTTTAAGGTATATATTTTTGCATATACAAGAATTCTACCGAAGTTTATGGGATTCGGTGACCCCTCGAGAATGCACATAGGTCCGCCTCTGTCTCCAGACTGGGTATTTTATAAATATAGATGTCATATGAGATATAATGGTATTTGGGATAGGGATTTTCTAATTCCTATACGCTATTTGAAATTTTATTACCCTTAATGTCCATGTTTAGCTAATTATCCGGCATAAACAAGTTTTGTTTACAAAAATAAACAATCCACCTTAAAAGGCTCCCAAATCTATTATTTGTGCCTTCAATCAAGGGATTTAGTTACACTCTTTTCCTTTTTTTTTTCTCTTTTCTTTTCTTATTTTTCTTCCGCCAGGGATCTTGGAACTATTGCTTTCACCAAAATGTACAACGTAAATATAAAGTCTTGCATATAACATTATTAGGCAAATAGAAAATTAGAAAAGGTGGAGATTTCTATCATCTAATTGTCAGGTAATAATACTTGCACTGATTTTCCATGTCCAGAAAGTAAATCGGAAACTAATTGTTATATTAAAAGATAATCACAGATCGCAGCTGCTGGTATCTCATATTTCTTAGGCAATTAAGCATGCATGTAACCGTATAGAAACTTTTCGTAGGGCTAAATTTATTCATTGAGCTCTGTATATCAAAAGATATATTCTTTTTTTATTCATGCATTAATCCACACTAATTTTCATACAATTTTCTAATTTTCTATTTGCCAAATGATTTCTGCTACGTAGTTGTTTTCTCTCATGTACGATGAAAAGGGAAGGTCCCAAGAAAGAAAAGAAAAGAACTTGGGATTTCCTAACTTAAACAAAAATCAATCCCATCACTGTTAACAAAATTTTGACATGGGTCCATTATTTGGAAGACTTTCCTCCACCGGACACATTTGAGTAAAACGATTGATATTGAATTTGGGATTAGAGGAAAAATCTGTATATACAAAATCTAAAATTAAAAGAGTACGTACTATTCTGTTTGCTTACAAGCTGAGCATATTTTTAGGATTCAAACGAACTAATCTACAACTTTTATACATTATTTTTACACAGTTAAATACAACTATAATATCATACAACTTAAATACAATTGTTATACAAGTTTTATACAATATGTCTTTTGTATATTTTGTATCTGATTTATACATAGTAAAAATAAATTTCATACAACTAATTATATATTATACAACTTATCTACAACTTATCTACAATTTTCATATATTATTTCTACCTAGTTAAATACAACTACAATAACATACAACTTAAATACAAATTTTATGTAAAATTTATACAATATGTCTTTTGTATATTTTGTGTCTGATTCACATAGTAAAAATAAATTTCATACAACTAATTATATATTATACAATTTATCTACAATTTTCATACATTATTTCTACTCAGTTATATACAACTATAATATCATACAACTTAAATATAATTTTTATACTATATTGTTCAACTTTTATACAATAGTTAAATAATATATATATATATATATATATATATATATATATATATATATATATATATATATATATATATATATATAATATATATATACGCACACACACACCTGATCAGGTGGTAT